ATTATACCACCGGTTAGCGTGGCTTCTCAGCTTACTGAACTTCGACCTCTTCAAGTGTTTCGTGAATATTTGTCCAACTATAATGCCACAACCGCGCCAAACTACGTCATCGCTCCGGCCATATCAACGCCTAATTTTTCCTCAATTCGATCCAGATTACGGGCTAATGCCGAGGCCCCAGTGCTAGAGCGAAACCAGCTAGGGGCTAGTTTTGAGACTCAGATCAGTGAGCCCGGGAATTCAGAAGTGTCGTGGATGGAAAGTAAAGGTCCAGTCCTCCCGAATCAGGAGGGAACTCATAAAATCAGCTACAAGAGGAAATCTTTGAAAATCCTGCCAACAAATGTGCGATCTGGAAACACCATGAAACAACAAACTGTTATGGTCAGCACTTCGGTTAATATGCCAAAAGTAAACTCAGAGGTAGAAGATATAGGAAGCCGCAGAAAATTAACGAAGGTTTTTGGCCCAAAACCAGAAATTTCCGATCGCGAAAGTGAAACTGCATTTATCCAGGAGGAAACAAATGGGGTTCAGCATCAAGCACCACTCACTGCTACACCAGAATTCCTTGCCATAGCACCATCACTGAACAGTGAAGAGGAATCACCCAGTATTTCGGTCACTCAAGCATTCCGGGCATTTTCCTCAACACGATACACCGTGCGATCACGGACTAATTTTGCTAAGCAGCTGAAAAAACTGATTATCTTTACGCCCCCTCCCCTAGCTATTTCTACTACTGTGACATCCAGTACTGTGGTACCTTTTGTCGCGCTACCTGAAACTACAGCAGCAACTTTGGCACCTGTGTTATCTTCTCCGACAAAGTCTGAACTATCCCCAGAGACAGAATCATCAGCGGAAGAAACACATCCCTTCAATGCAACGCTGGCAATTCTGGAATTCGCACTGTTTACGGATTCTGTTTCCCGGAGGCACAATTCGGAAAATGCTTCATCGATTTCGGCACCAGCAGAAATTGATCTTGGTACCAAAAGTACCACTGTTGCCACTACTATTGCTACTCTGACAGCCATAAGTACCAGCGCTACTGCTATTACTGCTACCAGTTCTGGTACCCCGGACACCACAGAACAAAATTCAAAGACCAGTGCGGAAGTGAAAAAGACAATAATAACTCCGCTAATCCCTCCAACTCTCAGTTTTTTAGGCAGTAGTTTCGACTGGATCCCTTTCACAGTGCCCTGGCTTAATAATCCCCAACAATGGCCTGATGGATTGTTGCAGAGAGGCTGAAAATTTTCAATTCATTCTTATCATGTATCTATCAATGTTTTTGAAGCCGGTGCTCTAGCTGGGGTTTTATCTGTTTGAGTGTCTGTAAAATATTACTGCGGTTGTCTGCAGTGGCCTATATGAGAAAAAAAGAAGAGAAGGTGAAGGGAGGAAAGGCAGGTGAAAATAAAAACAGAAAAGGAAGAGGAGGGGAAAAGTTCCAACATTTACAAGCTGAGGGAAATTTGTCACAGACTTTCTTTTTTTTTGTTTTGAAAATTCAAAGCCTTTTTTGTATTTGCTCTGCATGAAAGGCAGAGATAAACAAAGGTAGCTTGAGCTGTAGCAAAATGCTGATAGCAGTCAGTTACTGGAGGTTAATATTCTTTTTTGAGAGTTGTTTACAAGCAAGCTAGTGTCGACTGTGGCTTGGTTAGCATGTGCCATTAACAGTTTACCATCAAAACGTATGTGCGAATCATAGAGGGACTGGTATTCTCCGTGATCGTTCAGTTGCGAGGATGAACAAAAGTAAACGATCATGTTTCCGTTCACATTTATTTCACAGTGATTCGTTCTTGGCTTCTGGGAGAGAATGCACGCTTCTGATGGTTTACTGAAAAGGTGCACTTTCAGTCACATTGATCAAATTAGTTTTGTTCGTTGAAGTGATGCCTTTTACACAACCAATAATTTTAGGCTGTTTAAGGACTAATTTCAGCGTTTTTTGATCTAGATAACGTTGCATTTTATTTGGCTAAATTCCTCCCTCCTATGGCTAAATTTTGCGTCCTTCTTGATTAAAGTTCCGTACTCCCCATGTCTTCAATTTTTGTTTTCTTTCTATGTATGTGACTTTGAATTTTTTTTTTGTTCGAGTGGTGGAATCGCTCGTTGCCGGATAGGCCAATGTAATGGTGATATTTTGTATGCTGTATTGTTCAGCTTTAATCTTTGCTTTGTATTTTATCACCAAAGTTGCTATGCTCAATTTCGATGCCTGTAATTTTTGATTTGGTACCATTCAAAGTACTATAATAACGTGTTTTTTGTGGCTAATACTGAAATGTTCAAAAATTTAATCAACACATTGAACAAAAAAATGTGTCGCTTTTTGGTCAGCTAAGCTTGATCGGCCAAATCACTGCTAGCCTGACCAGAACATGGTGAAATGTTTTTCACAATTGAGTTTCAAAGTCAAAATCTTATACGGCCAGCAGAATTATGCCATGCACTTTTGAATTAACAAAACAGAGTAAAATTTACTGTCGGCCAGACAAAATAACTGTAACATCGATTCATCCGGGCAGACAGATTTCCATCATAAGAATAATGCTAAGAGCTTTATGTACGTCACTGCCAAGAGCTTCACGTTGACAAATATTGCTAAGAGCTTCATGTAGACAAATATTTATAGCTGAACAGA